GTGGGGGAGAGAGGAGAGAGAGAGAAGGAACAAACCCCGATGATGCCCCCCACCCCGTGACGTCATCCTAACATCTGTGTGCACTTCCCCCTCTCTGACTCCCTCACACACACATACATACCGCATATACGTATACGCACTAACCATAGTGAATTAGAACCGCTGTTTATTACCTACTGATAAGTTTTAGACTTAACGTTGGAAACCTAAAAAAATCTCAATCCTCCGAAATTATTACGAAATCATTAATTGCTTTTTGTTATATCTGATTTGTATCTCCTTGCCTGTATCTTATAATTCCTGCGTTATCTCCTTATTCTCTCTCTCTCTCTCTCTCCCCCTCCCTCTCCCCCCTCTCTCTCTCCACACTTATCTCCCATTTTGTCAAAATGATGTTTTATCCAATGGAGTATTTTACGCTCCAATTGATATTTGCCGATTTAGCAAACATTACAAATCTGATATTTCTCGCATACACGTGTATAAAATGGTGCAGCAATGTTACTAAAAATATTGCTGCAATGTTACCAGAATATATTGTGTGAAATTACAAATTACTGTTTATGTCTTACCTATAATGATAATTGTCAGAAATTGTCAGAAATTAAATTGGGAAAAAATGTCTTATTACAGGGAGTTACACATTTTCAATACAACAGGGACATTCGTTGAATAAAATCAGGATTTTTTTTTATAAGTTTTAATTCTAGATATAATATACCCATACAATACCGATTGTTGCAGAAAATTTTCAGAAATGTTTCAATCTTTCACATCTCATGTGCAACAATTCTAAAACATTTCATATGATATATTCTGCAATATGTCATATGAAATGTTTTAACAGAAACGTTTCTATAAAATCTATCATATACAATAAATTGAAAAACATATTTAAACAGAACAAAAAATCATCATGATGTTAAAATGGCTCCAAAATGTTTAATAAAAGTCATTTTTTGATCAATCATGATTCAGTTTAATGTCATTTTGATGTTATCGTGAGTTCTACTTTAATTGCGAAAAACTTTTGTATATGTTTTCTTTCGCAGTTCGTATGTTACCAAGATCGCTTGTAATAAACAATTTCCCGCATGCCTAGCAACCTACGACGGTGGGCCGGGCGGTCCTCTCTTGTCGCGCACCTGTATTTAATGGTAAACCGTGCTATTTAGTGATCTTTAGAAATTAATATATTAATTATTGTGAAAAAATTGCAAAATGAGGATTTTACAACTCAGTTTAGTTCGCTCTACCTACTCCCGTAGGTCTGAAACACCTTGTAGTTTCATTTCGATCTCCATAAGTCTTCTATTTGATTGGAAATATCATGTGTCCAATGTGGCGTACGTTATCAGGGAGTTAAAATAATAAGAAAGTTTCAACACAATCTTAGATTATCAGATTTATTAAAATATCTTAACAAAATTATCTACTCCTATAAATACAGCAGTGTAGTTTTAGCAAGTTGCAATTTGGTCCAACTTTCTCTCAACTTCTTTATATTTTCAAATCGATGTGATCTACACAGCCAATCGTTCCAGCTATTTTTATTTTAATATCCTGCACAGTGGACGCGGTAGTTTATCCTGTGAAAAAATGTGACAGGATAGTAAAACAATCACTTGTTTTTCCGGAAAATACATATTCTGTCCTAAAGAAAAAAGACAAACTCGATCAAACCAACTTTTGTCATGTAGCGTCCAATGTGCAGGGCTACGTTCAAAAATTTCGCCCGGGAGTTTATATTTGTAGAGTTTATATTTTTAACATTCGGTGAATAAAGATAAAATGATATACTAAATTTTTGAATGTACCTTAGGAACCAATACAGTCTTTCACATTTGCTATGACATCACATTTCAAATTAGTATTATATCGAAATAGTATCCTCAACTGTACAATCGTATATTTTTTTTCTTTCCATTTTCACACTTGAATATAACCTATAGTCGTATTCGTAAGATCGTTTTAAGGGACCAGAATTTGAGCAATTACTTGGTTTAGATTTGATATTTTTATCGTAGTCGGTATCTATTAAATTCATGCACATTTTTTTAAATCTCGCTAAAATGTTGACCATTTTGGCAATACTCGAACAGCCAGTCTTCATTGCTGCATCTGCAATATTTATGTGACAGTCATATTTCTTCAAATCGCTGTTTATGCGTAGGAGCTCGCCGTATAAGCTCTCATCTGGAACAATATTAGGAGATACTAGGACATAGGCAGTAGGATAAGGAATGGAAGAGTTATTTTTTTACCGTTATTTTTTATAACAATTTGATAATGACGTTGTAATTTTTCATGACTATATATAATGATACCCAAGTAGCACAGCAGCGCTTGCAAAGCGCTAAAAAGTGATTATATGCGCTTTATTCACGCTTTGTAAGAGCTGTGTGCTACTTAGGAATTAACTATATGTATAAACGCTGAGGTTGCGCTAAAGGTTAAAAAAGTCACTTCGAAAAATAACTTGTCACCATTACACATTATTTACTGAAAAAAGTAATAAATAATTTGTAACGCGCATCGACGAGTTATTTTTTATGTTAGAGAGAGAGAGAGAGAGAGAGAGAGAGAGAGAGAGAGAGAGTAACAAATAAAGTATGTAATTAATTATAAATAAAGTTATTTTTTTCAGTAATGAGTGACCTTTCCAACTCTGATGTTACTATTACCATCATAAAAAATTCGCAACGTTATTACTAAATTATTACTATAAAGTAGTATAAATAACGATGTTGTTATAAAGTTGTTATTATATTTATTATAACAAAGCAACGATAAAAAGTAAAGGCGTTACAAGTAACACGTGTACATTTCTTTTCTGCAGTATAATCAGCACTAACAAGCCTCAATCACGTATATATTTTATTATAATAAAAGATACCGTTAGATCTATTACAGTAAAGAATAAAAAATAAAAATAATGGTAAAAAACTATAAAGAAAGGAAAGAAGTAAACCAAAAAGATAAAAAAAGTTTTAATCATAATAATATTAAAATTAATATCAAATCGAGAATATATGTATTATATCACATGAATATTTGAGTTTATAAATTCCTATCAATCTGAAAATTTTTTTCTCTAATTTTATAGATTAAAAGATAAATATTTTTATTTTATTATTATTTAGTTTTTATTATTATTTATAATTTATATATAATTTTTATTATTATTTAGAATATTATTTTCTTTATAAATTAAATATTCTATATATTTCTACTAACACTAATTAACAAATTTATTTAATCTAAAATGTTTTCTAACAAAAATTTATTTAATTATTTAAATATATGATACTGTAAATATACTGTGAATAATTATTTTTTACAAAAGAAAACAAAATAAATACTGTAATATTTAATAATATAACATTAATTCTATTCTTTAGAAATTTTATTATATATATAATAATTAATATTGTACATATAATTAATACATCACTTGAAATGTTTTAAATATTAATAACATAAAAATGTAATAATATGTATGTAATTTATGTGGGTTCTAAGAATTATTCTGATTTGAACAATCGGAGCACAAGTATATCGAGATTACTCGAAATCGGTCATGTGGTCGATGACATAACTTATTGCGTATAATGTTCCAAAGAATATATCCTTTGATCGGATCATTTCAACATTGACCTAGAACGCATGTTTGCAACGCCTTGTCGAAGATCATTCCATCGTTACATTCACGCAAGGCCTTCCGACCAACTTTGCACTCGTAGTATTTGTTGCACTCACACTCATGAGGCATATATTCATTTTCTGTGCACTGGGATGTAATTGGAATCGAAGTCGGACTCGAAATTGAACTTGGAGTTACTTGAAGGCAACTTGTACCTGGTTGACAAGTTTTCGTTGAAATATCAAAGTGCTTGCCGGCCGGACACTCAAATAAAGCTTTGTAACCCTCTATGCATAAGTAATATTTAGTACATGTACATTCGTGTTTCAGTAGATCGCCGTCTGTGCAATAATGCGCAGTCGGAATTGTCGAGGTCAAAGTCGCTGTCGAGATCGAAGGTGAAATTGGCAAAGAACAATCCGAAATATTCAACTCGACGCAACCATGCCATCTTTGGCTAAAGTATAGGCCGGCCTTACAAGAGCGCGGTTCCTTCTTACTGTTTTTGCACTCGTAATACTTAGTGCAATCCGTTTCGTAAGATATTAACTTCGGCGGGCAAGTATCCGGATTTGGACATTCTTTTGGTAAACAATCCGAAATATTCAACTCGACGCAACCATGCCATCTTTGGCTAAAGTATAGGCCGGCCTTACAAGAGCGCGGTTCCTTCTTACTGTTTTTGCACTCGTAATACTTAGTGCAATCCGTTTCGTGAGATATTAATTTCGGCGGGCAAGAGTCCGGATTTGGACATTCTAGTAAAATCGGAGTTGTAGAGGTCGAAGTCGGAGTTGTCGCGGTCGGAGTCGAAGTTGGAGTTGTTAAGGGACAATCCGAAATCTCCAGCTCGACGCAACCATGCCATCTTTGGCTAAAGTATAGACCGGCCTTACAAGAGCGCGGTTCCTTCTTACTGTTTTTGCACTCGTAATACTTAGTGCAATCCGTTTCGTGAGATATTAATTTCGGCGGGCAAGTGTCCGGATTTGGACATTCTAGTAAAGGCGGAGTTGTCGGAGTCGGAGTTGTCGAGATCGGAGTCGGAGTTGTCGAGGTCGGAGTCGGAGTTGTCGAGGTCGGAGTCGGAGTTGTCGAGGTCGGAATCGGAGTTGTCGAGGTCGGAGTCGGAGTTGTCGAGGTCGGAGTTGGAGTTGTTAAGGGACAATCTGAAATCTCCCGATCGACGCAACCATGCCACCTTTGGCTAAAGTATAGACCGACCTTACAAGAGCGCGGTTCCTTCTTACTGTTTTTGCACTCGTAATACTTAGTGCAATCCATTTCGTGAGATATTAATTTCGGCGGGCAAGTGTCCGGATTTGGACATTCTGGTAAATCCAGAATTGGACAATCCGAAATCTCCCGATTGACGCAACCATGCCACCTTTGGCTAAAGTATAGACCGACCTTACAAGAGCGCGGTTCCTTCTTACTGTTTTTGCACTCGTAATACTTAGTACAATCTTCTTTGATAGGTATTAATTTCGGTGGGCAAGGATCCGGGTTTGGACACTGGTCATCACTCTCATCTTGTGAACAATCTGAAATTTCCTGTGTGACGCAACCACCCCATCTTTTGCTAAAATACAGGCCGACTTCGCAAAAGCGTAATTGTTTCTGATTGTTTTTACACTCGTAATATTTAGTGCAATCTGTTTTGTGAGATATTACTTTGGGTGGGAAAATGTCTAGCACCGGACATTCGTCTTCAGTTTCAAAAATAATAGGTAATTTACTCGCGGTGATTACAGTCCAAGATGCCAAAAAGGCGATGGCGATTAGGTATATTCCTGTATTGAACAACAAAATATTTTGATCAAAATTTAATTAACTATTATTGCAATTTATGAAATATCAATTATTTGTATTTATATAATTTGGATTTAGTGACTCAAATAATCTCAACACAGTATATAAAACTTTCTCAATAGTTTTATTACTGTAGTTTTTATTATAAAAATTTATCAATGCTCACCCTTCATCGCCTGTCACCTATTTTATTCTTAACGAAGAAAGATTTGTCTTAAAGAGAAAACAAATTCCGTATTGTATATATAAAAATATCCTGTTAACACCTCACTAATTAGTCAGTTGAATACATGACTGAATGAATTAAAGAGCGTTGTCGCCTTTTATAATCACGTTATCGTATGACACAAGGACAGATTATCATATCTGTTAAAAAACAAAGCCGTTTTTATTTCTTTTGGAACTCCAGATTCTCACGTATTCGCATAGTGTACATATATATATTTGAGTAAAAAATTATTGAAGATCAATATTCGGCAATTTTTAGTAATTAATATCTCGTTAAACATTGCGAAAATTGCAAAATGATAGAAGACTTTTCAATTCAATTTAGTCCGCTCTAGCTACACAAAAGCGCTTGGCAAAAAATTGCCGTACACCCTGTATATGTATATGGTATAAATTTGTACAGATCCAAAGAAAACAAAAGATTTAAAGTTATAATAATGAATGTAACACAAACATATGCGCAGATACCGCAAATAAATATCTTATAAAAATTACAATCTACATACGTATATATAATATATAAATATATATGTATTTATACACTGAAAAAAAATATAGTCAATTTTAATAAATATTTAGTTCAATACTACCAACTATGTATTGAACTAAATATTTGTTAAAATTGACTGTATTTTTTTTCAGTGTAATATTTATATAAATTCTTTTTTTACTGTATTTCTTTAATTATTAAAAGTTATTAATTATTTTATTAATAAAAATATCTAAAAAATAAAAAGAATATTTTGATATATTATTATAATATGTATGTTTTAAATTATAACATTTATTATAATTTTTTGTGTGTTATTTGTCAAAAATGTGTTGGGAGGCTTTTAGTATCTCAAATATTCATATAGGAAAATGTCACAGTCTTGAAGAAATTTATTTTTCATTGTATCGGAAGAGAGAATTATAAAAATTATTAGACAAAAGAATTATTGCCTCCATTAGACTTGACCACAATGAAAAATTCTTACGTAAATATAAATTGATAATAAGTTTTATAAGCTCAAGTAAGGAAATGGCAAACTATATAATGACATAGGGAAATTGAATTTTTATATCAAAGATTCAATGTTCTGATTAAATTTGATTTCATCAAGAGCTGAATGACTTATACTTATTATAGATAAAAAAATATATGAGTATGGAAATAAAATGTTAGTTAAGATGTCAAGGTAATTTTTGATTAGTAAGTGATTATGATAAAGTTTTGTTATTAAAATTTTTATCATTTTTATTATGCTATGAAAAGATCATAGCATAAAATGATTCGCAATTTGATTAATGCGTCGAGATGTTCGTAGACAGAAATTTACTATAGCCTTAATTCAATACGCATTATATGGGTATAGCCATTATTAAAAAAATTATAGTTTTTTAAGTTAAATATTTATAAGTAACTTCTAATTTAAGTATTTATTTTTTTATTCTTTTTATACGGTAGCGGAAAAAGAGAAATATTACGCAGAGTTTATTTTAAATAAAATGTTGAGTTTGTTATAATTTAAACTACAAAAATAAAATTATTATCATCATAAATAATTAAAACGTAACATTTTATCAAAATTATAAATAACTATGGTGCCAAGTTCGTCGAATAATTTGATATAATCTTTCATTATCAGTTGAGACCTTAAAATTTGAAAGTGGCGATATCTCGACTGATCAATATTATCAAAGTAGGTATATATGTAACATCTCATTATCAAAATATATAATCAGCACTGATACAATACGCAACATCAAAGAAATTTAAAAAATTAATTGCTTATAATTGAATTAGTTAAGAACATAAAATGCTTTATTGATTTTAAAATTTTATTGTGCTGTAGTGTTTGACAAGATTATTTCTCGTTATGTATGTTACATTCAATTCTACATAGTAAATTTTTATCACAATTGTAATTATTGAGCTACTTGTAGTATACCAATTGACAACAAAATCGGAGGAAATTCAGGTTTTCGGAAGGTTATCCGCTACTTGTAATTATTATTACAATACTATTATTTATACTTAAATGGAATTTTGAATTAAGTTAATAACTTGTCGCAAATCATTTCTTTCGTTTTTTTCATTCTCCTAAGTATGTGGAGTTCTAAGAATTTTTAATAAGCCAGAATGACAGTCGAATGACATATCAAAAATACCGAATCAGAATCTCGAACTTATCATGATAATCTAGATTCAGCGAGCAATTTGTACAGAAGACTCTATACAGGGTATATCTTAAATAACGCCCACTAATCATATAGTGCTATTTCTAATAAAAAGACTGAATCGAAAATTCCTCTACCATTTTGTAATTTTCGCAATATCTTTTTTTAGTTACTCAATAAGCAAAATGTCTAAAATCGATGTATAAGACAACTTTAAGATATCTTTAAGAGTTCTTTCTAAGAAATATCTTTAAAATATTTCATAAAGAACACTGAAAGATATTTTAAAATTGTCTTATATGTGTATCGATTTTATCCGATATACCGTTTATTCGGTAATCTTTAAAAATTAATATCTCTAACTATTGCAAAAATTGCAAAATGGTAGAAGACTTTCCGGTTCTACAATTAAATGGGGGATATCAGAAATTTCTATACACGATTATAATAAACGAAAATAAAAAATATTGATATTTCGATCTATTATTTATTTTGTATTATATACACATATCGCTTGCTATATCGGTTGCTATCTTTTTTTATAATAATAAATGAGAATGTCGAAAATTCTGTGTTAATAGACTGCAATAAATCGCTATCACTTATGAATATAAAAATTGCTTACGCACATTTGGATATGCACGAAAAATGATCATTGAGAGATCGCAAGAGAAAATTTCCTATTTCATATAGGTAACATTTCTGAAATTATATCAGTTACGTCCAAAATGTAATATTTATTAATGTTCTTTTTTAAGCTTAATGATTATCTTTTGTATCTCTTAATATAAATTTAGGAACATGAAATAAAATTAAGAGCTTTTCATCTTTCGCTCCTTACTATCAAATATTCCTTTTATATCAATACGTTTTGATCAATTTATCATTATTATTAAGAAGAGCTACGATGACAGGAATAATTACAAATAGAATAAAAAAATTCTTGGATGAACTTGGACCTGAACTGAATATAATCAGTTTTTTGCATATATGATACTTTATGATTATCTAATAAAATCCTTAAATAAATTTTGGATTCAAAAGCATCACTAAAGATTGGAGCATAAGTTGAATGTAAGAGAGAGAGTAACAGAAACGTAAACGAAATATCTAGGAGGAAAATTGAAACAATGAAACGTAAAAAAGCATGAAACGTCTTTTTACATTTCGTTGTTTCAATTTTCGCCTCCTAGAAACTTCGTTATTTACGCTTTTGTCTCTCCTTACATTAGACTTACGATTTGATTTTTATTTTCGTCAGAGGAATAATGTTGATTGTAAAATATTTTTTTATCTTATGTCCCTATACGTATTTTTATATTATATCCCTATACGTATATTATATTATCAATTAAATTCAATATGTTTTCTAAACATATTTTACTCTCTAAATTTCTTGGAATCAAATCTCACTCCAAAAGAATGAAAATACTGCAACTATTAAACAAGATTGACAATATTTGCACTTTTGAATAAAAGTGGCAGATTTTCACTTTTCTGAAGTAAGATTTCAATCTTTTGAAGTAAGATTCACTAGATTAATTCAAGTTCACTCTTTTGGACTGAGATTTACTCCTTCTGGAGTGAATCTTACTTCAAAAGATTGAAATCTTACTCCAAAAAAGTGAAAATCTGCCACTCTTATTCAAGAGTGCAAATATTTTCAGTGGTAGCAGTATTTTCATTCTTTGGAGTGAAATTTCACTCCAAAAAATTTAGAGAGCACAAATCAAAGTACAATTTAAAGTGGATCATACTGTAAGTCACTTAATTTTTATATATCTTATCTAAGAAAAGTTCTCAGGTATCTCTTCACCGATTTTAATGAAAATTGATAGATTTGCAGTTAGGATGAAAATATTCGATAAACATATTTTCTTTTATTGGCAATTAAACAAATTTAAGGAGTGAAATTATTTTTCGAAGATTGGCCAAATTTTTATTTTTTAAATAACTTTTGAACGAAACATAATAACATAATTTCGTAAATGTACAAAATATACAGAATATCAAAATCCGATATTGTACGCCAAATTGTTTGAGTCGTCTTCTAAACATTAGTCTCTAATTCCCCGGTAGCATCGCGACAAACCATCCACTAGAATTGTATTTGCGCGTGACTTCGGAAATGATAGATTGGTAATATAGGGGAGCATACCAGGTTAATTTTTATATACTAATGGATAGCTTTCGAAATTCTGTACACTTTGTACATTAACAATATATTACGTTATTATACTTTGTTCAGAAGTTGTAACCGAAAGATAATAAAAATTTAGCTGATTTCCGAGGATTGATTTCACTCATTAAACATTTAACATGTTTGGTTGTTGATAAGAAAATGCGTATCAAATATTTTTATCCCCTCTATAAACCCACTAAGTTTCATTAAAATCGGAGAGGGATATCTGGAAGCCTTTCCTTGTTAGTGACTAACCAAGATATATATCGAAAAATCTCTTGATAACGATAAGAAAATATTATTTGTGTAACAGAAAATTTTTTAAATTAGTTTTTTGGACCTATCAAAATTTATCTCAAGTTTTTGTAAAATAACATATATAGGTTTTTTTATACAAAATTGTTTAGAACAGATGGAGATTATTACAAATGTATCGTATCGTATATGTTTTTAAAATATTCTTTAATTATTGTACAATATATATTGACATCATAAATATCTTGACACTTATTAGTTAAATTACAAGTTACATTTATTAATTATAATTAATTACACAAGTCTGCAAGGTTTTTTTAAAAGATATACTCGTATAAGTAGTTTTCCATCCATACAGCACAAAAAGATTGCAAAATGATTGCAGATATATCTCATTGCAATATTGTAATATTGCAAATAGATTGCACAATGTATTTGCAACATTGTTGCAATGTCA